GCCCCGCGCCCCGCGCACCACACGAAGTAGAGCAGGATGAGCAGCTGCACGGCGCGGTACAGGACGCCCAGGCGCCGGTTCCTCACCACGATCACCTTGGGCGTCTCGTAGTCCCAGAGGGCGGACCAGCAGCCCCGGGCCAGGCGCCGGGCGGTCGCCCCCGCGGGGGGCTTGGGCTGGGCGGCGGCCATGGCGCGGGCGGCCCCCACCTCCGGGAAGCCGCTGCCGGGCTGAGGGTCGGCCCCGCTGCGCACGGAGGGCGGGGGGCGCGCGGTGGGCGGGGAGCTCGCGGCTCCGCCTCCGGGGTGTGGCCTCGCGCCCGCCCCGCCCCGGCCCCGCCCCGCCCCGCAGGTGTCCCGGGTGTCCCAGGTGGGGCTCGGAGCGCGGCCTCGCGGGGGCAGAGCCGGGGGCGCGGCAGCCCAGCCCCAGCTCCCGGCGCAGGTGGGGGCCGAGCGGGGAACCCGCGGTCTCGAAGCTGGAGGGTCGGGATTCCCCGGGTGGGAACTTCTTCGAGCTCCAGGAGAAGGACGAGGGAAGTTCCGCCGGCCTCCGCCGCGCCCCCGCCCCCGTCCCGGCCGGTTCCTGCCGCGGCTGCCGGGGCCTGGAGCGGAACCTGCACTCCCGCCTTTGCCCGCAGACCCCTCGCTTCCAGCCCTGGAGCTGGAGAGGGATCACGGCCGATCCGCTGTCTTTGCAAGCCAGAGTTTTCTTTCTTTCTTTTTTTTTTTTTTTTAACTTTTCGAACCTCTACCCCACCCACATTATTTTGAAGCAAATCCCAAGCATCACAGTTTTTCACAAAATAACTTTAAAATGGTTTATTGTGATAAAATCAGCATAGCATGTGATTAACTATTTTAAAGTAAACAATTCAGTGACATTCACAATATTGTGCAACCACCACCACCTCTGTTTCATCCCCAAACACTTTCCCCACCCCAAAATAAAACTCCCATCCATTAAGCAGTCACGACCCGTTCCACACTCCTCCCATGCCCTGGCAACCACCAGTCTCTTCTCTGCCTCAATGAATGGATTTGCCTGTTCTGGATATTCCGTATCAAGGAAATGCAATATTTGTTTCTGGGTTAATGCCTCTTCTGTCTGGCTTCATTCACTGAGCATGTTTTCAAGGTTCATCCACATTGCAGCATGTGTGAGGGCCTCACTCTTCTTTGCGGCCAAGAGAAATGTCTAGGCTGTACAAAGAAGGCATTTAGATTGCTTTCAAACTAACCCTGTGAATAGCGCTGTTATAAACACTGGTGTGTAAGTATTTATTTGAACTGTTAAATTAACTCAATTAACAGGCTGCCTCTGTGCCTTGAGTTTCTAGGTAACAACAAACTGCAACCTAATGTACCACAGAAACAAACTGAAAGCCTAACTTAGGAGTATATTTTGGAACAAATAGCTAGGTCTCAGCCAATCACAGGCTGCCAACTGATCTGCTCATGTCCATATAAGGCAAGCACCTCAAGCTGTAACAAAATCAAACTAATTGTGATTTTTTTTTTTTTTGTATCTCACTTCTGTGTTCTGTCTATAAAAACTCCCTGCCCACATTACAGAGTGGAGCTTTCAAACCTCCCTCACTGGTTCTGAGTGCTGCCCAACTCATAAGTTGTGGAGTTGTGTTTTGCTCAGTTAAACTCTGTTGGCTGGATGCAGTGGCTCGTGCCTGTAATCCCAGCACTTTGGGAGGCCAAGGTGGGTGGATCACTTGTGATCAGGAGTTCAAGATCAGCCTGGCCAACATGGCAAAACCTCGTCTCCATTAAAAACACAAAAGTTAGCCTGGTGTCGTGGCACCTGTAATCCCAGCTACTTGGGAGGCGGAGGCAGGAGAATCACTGGAATCTGGGTGGTGGAGGTTGTAGTGAACCGAGATTGCACCACTGCACTCCAGCCTGCACAACAGAGCGAGACTCTGTCACACACACACACACACACACACACACACAAACTCTTAAATTTAATTTGTCCAAAGTTTTTAACAGTTTGGTGTCAGAAGTGGGATCTGAAGTAGACCTCCAGCCACCCGCTAGGAGCACTGAAGGGCCTGTGTGCCTGCTGATCTCTCAAAGCATCTAGAATCAGGTGAGTTCTCTCTGCTGGATTTGTGCTCTATGAACATGTGTTTTAAGCCCTCTGCTTTGAGCAATTCTTTCTTTTCTTTTCTTTTCTTTTCTTTTTTTTTTTTTTTTTTGAGATGGAGTCTTGCTCTGTGGCCCAGGCTGGAGTACAGTGGCGAGATGTCAGCTCACTGCAACCTCTGCCTCCCAGGTTCAAGCAATTCTCCTGTCTCAGCCTCCCAAGTAGCTGGGATTACAGGCACATACCACTGTGCCCAGCTAATTTTTTGTGTGTTTTAGTAGAGACAGGGTTTCACTGTGTTGCCCAGGCTGGTCTCAAACTCCTGAGCTCAGGCAATCCGCCCACCTCAGCCTCCCAAAGTGCTGGGATTACAGGCGTGAGCCACCGTGCCCGGCCTTGAGCAATTCTTAGACTGGAATGGGTCCAGGATTGAATTGGATCCAAAACTTAACTCCATTGTTAGAGGCCTCAAGTAGGTCCCTTTTGGTTCGGGTTTGTCTGAGTCCAAGGAGTCTGCGTGCCACCTTCTGGGACTCTTGCGAATTTTGTGTGTAAGAACTATGGACCCAGAATTTGTGCATTTTTTAGAAAAACAGGTTAACCCCAAACTCAAAAAGACCCCTACAAATTCTCAGAACCATACACCTTTTGGAGACCTTAAGGTAAAGCTAACCAGGGAAGTTTTCCCCAGAAGCAGACGGCATCCTAAATGTGGACAGCTTTTCCAGGATCATGAGTCGACACTTCTCCACCATCATGAAAGCCTTAGCCTCCCCCCAGCCCCTTATTTCCTGCTGTTTGAATCTTTTCCTTTTCATTACAGGAAAATCCACAGGACCGTAATATGTGGATGACTTTAGCTAAGGCTTATGCTCTAGGAAAAACCCAGAGTGCTTGTTGGGTTTGTGGATTAATGCCAAAAACCAGGAAACTATGTCAATCCCTGTCATTCTTCACGATGACAGTCACCCTGGAACTCCCAGGAAAGAGTGGAGAGCGTCCCCGCATGTCCCAGGGGAGAGTGGAGAGCGTCCCCGTGTGTCCCAGGGAAGAATGGAGAGCGTCCCCGCGTGTCCCAGGGGAGA